TGGGGTTCAGAGGACACTTGAGGGTGGCGGTGAGGGTTGGGGTTCAGAGGACACTTGAGGGTGGTGTCGAGGGTTGGGGTTCAGAGGACACTTGGGGGTGGCGGCGAGGGTTGGGGTTCAGAGGACACGTGGGGGTGTCGGTGAGCGTTCGGGTTCTGAGGACAGTTGGGGGTGTCACCGAGGGTGGGGGTTCAGATCTCTGAAAGTAATTCTTCTGTCTTTCTCCCCTCAGCCTCACTCATGGCTACATGTCTGACGTCAAGAGGATTTCAGCCACATCTATTTACTTCGAGTCCATGCCGTACAAGCTGAAAGTGAGTGTGAGATGCTCTATCGATTTGTAATTCCCCTTCTTGTCATGTGTCCAGACTCGGGGCCCTAGAGAGAGACCCGGCTGTCCTTCTTAGCTGGCACGCTGTCAGGGCCTTGGGGGGTGGGGGGGCGCGTCCGTGCTCTTCAGCCGCGCGGTGATTGAGGTGCCGACAAAACCTCACCGCCGCGGAACTAATAGAAAATCGACAGGCTGTGGCCCAGACCGCTTTGTCGTGGAGGAAGAGGTGTTTGATGGAGTGGAGGGATCAGTTAATATACCGTGGAGCTGAGAAGACACTGGATAAATGCTGCAGAGGAGCACCAGCTGTTTTTTTTTACTGTTTTTCTTACTGCCCCTTATCTACCTCTCTTCCAGCTTACTGTCATCTTTTTCAGTACCTTCCAACTTACAACCTTAAGGGGTTTTATAGCACTTTCACAGCTTGTTTTCTAAGAAGCAAGAGGAAACCTGTCCCCGCTGTAAGTCAATAAAAGGCTCATAAATGATGCATGTGAATCTTAAGAAGAGTGGAAATTAATTAGTGGTCAGTTATTTTTTTTTTCTCCAAAATGATTATTGATCAGGGCAGCACAATGAATATTGCTGCGTTGCAGCGCTTGAGCCTGGGCTCAATTCTGTGTGATCTGTGTGGAGTTTGCATGTTCTCCCCAGGTTTGTATAGGTTTCCTCCCACAGTTCAAAGACAGACTGGTAAATCAATTGGTTTCTAGGAAAACTGGCCCTGGTGTGAGTGTGTGTCTGTGTGTTCTCTGCATCCAGGGTGTGTGTCCCGGTTTGCCCCCTAGTGCTTCCCGGGATAGGCTCTGGGCCACTGACCCCGAACTGCATATGAGGTCTATGTGAAAGGGGCATAGTGATGTGAATTGTTGATCACTCTAGGATTACTTCATATGATTCATATGAGTTGTAAAATTATTTTTGCTGTGCTATGGGTAGAAGGAGGGTGCCCTGCAGGCACTGAGTAGGAAGGGTGAAAAGATGCGTGTTGAAAAACTCTGTTCTCCTTGCTGTCTCTCATCCTGGTTAGATTGTTGACCAGTGCCTTTTGTCTTTTCTGGGCCTAGCAGTATGCCAGATAGTACTGTGCTTGTCTGTGTCCCAGGGGTGAGGTACTGTCGTCTTGTGTGGTGTTGTAGCAGTGCCTTCTCAAGGCTAGCTGGTGTCGGTGTGGCTCAGGGCAGTGAGCTTCAGGACCAGCTGGCTGAGTGGGCTCTTCTCTGGGTTCAGCTATGTGCTGAGCTCCAGGCTCAGGAGGGCCTTGTGGTGGTTGGAGTTCTAGTAACTGCTTTTTAGGTGTAGCCACTATCGTATAGGTCTCTTCAGTCTATTAATGAGCAAAAGATAGTATTCTAATTTAACCCTGCACATGTTTGCTGGTTTTAATTTGGAGTCTATATTTTAAAAATTGGTGTTTCCAATTTTTAGAGAAGAAGACAGACTGTGGTGATGCTTCTCACTCTAGTTCAAGAGAAGACTTTCCCATCCTATACCATCTGTGCTTATGTAGCAGACTCTTTTGTTGCTGGTGAAATAAGAAATTCCCTGAGACAGATGAGATTCAAATGATTTTCATGCTTATTAATATGGTTTTTAATTTGCTATCCATAATGAACTTGTCTTGCCATTGCCACTGCCACTTTTTCGTGAAGAGGTGCTGATAGTGTGCCTCTGCCTTATGAAACCTGTTCTGTCAGCATGCACTGTCTCATGCTTTGAGCCCCACAATGCTCGCAGCTGAATAGAGGCATCACATGGAGGTCTGCTGCAGCTGTTGCTTGTAATGCTGCAAAGACCAAAACAGCCCACCAAGACGAAAGAGATTTTGGGTGGCAAACTAGGAGGCCCTGCTGTGTGCCTGTTGCTTTCCAGGGTAGACTCCAGCTGCGCCGCGACCCCTAAATTGGAAGAAGCGGTTAGAAAATAGTTGGAAATAGACCCTGGAACCAAAACTGTCTCTCAAGACTCATGGTTTCTTTAAGTTTACTTGCTGCCCTTCAGCCCTGGGGCCCTGGGCTCAATTCCTGGGGTGCTGTCTGCGTGGAGTTAGTATGTTCTCACTGTGTTCGCATGGGTTTACTCCTGGTGTGCTGGTTTTCTCCCAAAGTCCAAAATCTTACTGGTAGGTTAATTGGCCTCTGGGTAGATTAGCGCTGGTGTGAGTGTCTGTGTCTATGTGTGCCCTACCTTGTGCCAGCTGCTTGCTGGAAAAGGCTCTGGCATCCCCAAGACCCTCTATGGGACAAAGCACTTGGGAAAATGGGTGGATGCAAAGATTAACAGAAATGTAAGTCCCAGGGATGAAGCATCCCCCCGCCCACACTGTGCAGTGGTGTCACTGATGCCTGGTTCTGTGCCATTTCAGCTCGAGACCGGAATAATCGACTACGACCAGCTGGAGGTGACGGCCCGACTCTTCCGTCCCCGGCTGATCATCGCGGGAACCAGCGCGTACGCCCGCCTCATCGACTACGCCAGGATGAAAAAGGTGCTGCGTGCTTTTCCATGGGTTTTCCTCATTTTTCCCTCGCTGATTTCTTTGTTTACTTTCCGCTGATGGAGCAGCAGCAATAATTTGTTCGGCTCATTGGCCTTGTCTCTGCAACACACTATGTTTTGCTCATCATGCCCTGGTTTTTCTGGCATAAACTGATAAAAAAATCTCCCTCCCCCCCCCTTTGCTGCTGTTGAAAGCAATAGGGCAGGGGTCTCTGTCCCTGGTCCTGGAGAGCCCTATCTAGAAGGTTTTAGTGGTCAGCCTTAAATCGCCCATTCATAAAGCCCTGGAAAGTGTTATTGTGATGTGTTCAATTTAAAGAATTTAAAAAGAACTTAGCCCTGCTTTGTGCCTTTTGGTTGCTGGGATAGACAAAATGGTTGGAAAAAGAATGTGGAACCAAAATCATCCAACAAGGCTCAAGGTTTCCTTAAGTTTACTTGCTGTTGGATCATTAACTTACTAGTGTTTTTGGTCTTCTGCAAGGTGACCTATAAGACCTAACGGGACTGACCTCTCCAAGCTGGAGAATCCTGAACATAAGACATTGTGCCCATTTGGTAGTTTGTGCAATGTGGATTTAAATACCCCAGCAAGCAGGGCATTATAGTATTCAAGAGAAGACAAAACTAAAGTGTTGTGACCACCTATTTCTGAAAAAAGGCCAGGGTATTGGCGAGACTAGGAAGCTTGTTCCATACTTCCACAATTCTGTCTAAAGTAATGCCTTCTGTCCTGATGAAAGGATCTCATGTAGCCATTTCTTACAAGAAGCTGGGATACCGGCTTCAGCAACAGGACTAAGAAGTCTGTTCCGCACCCCCACCACTCTTTGGGTAAAGATGTATTTAAAGCTGAGAGCAGGAGGGTTATTTCCACGTCCTACATCTGCAGCAGGGAGTGCTGGTCTCCTGTGAGTGGAAGCATACACATGTTGATGAAATTGAAGGTGAAAACTCTCCATCCTGATAGATTATTTTTGCATTCAATAGAACGGCTTTACAGGCATGGCTGGCTGCTTTCTCTCCAGGTTCGAGGTTTTGCCACAAGGGCAGCAGGCTTGACTCTCAGTTCCCTGCAAGAAGACATGCCAGCATTTGCACTGCTGTCACTTGAAAAGCAGCTTGCCCTACTGGATGTCAAGAGCTCTTTCCTCACATTAAGAACCCATTATTTTGCTGCATCTCATTCTGATGAACTGCATAATAACAGGACTTAATGCAGCAAGGAAAAATGAATAATATTGATTAAGAGGGGTTGGGATGGGTGTGCAGGCCATTATTCTTAATTGGATGCTAAGAAATATGCCCAGTGAAATGTTTGAATTTTGTTTTGTTTGTGACAAGGTTTATTAGCACTGGGGTGGAAACATCTTAACTGGAATACGACCTGAATATGCTGACTGGCTAATAGGCCTTTTAGACTGAGCGTGCTCAAACAGGGATGGCACTGGTTCAGTGGTTAGCACTGCAACCTCACAGCTCTGGGGCCCTGGGTTCAAACCCGGACTTGAGGTGCTGTCTGCATTGCAGTCTGCCTTTATATGTTGTATATCCGTGGCAGACCTGAGGATTGTCTCTTGATCTGGGGAGTGCATTGCAGCTTTGGGTAGTTGCACACAGTGATGTTAAATGTCTTGTCTTGTCTTGTCTTGTACAGCTGCTTGTGCTGCCAGATGAGCTGTGGGGTTAACCCAGTCCCATTCCTGCTCTAACGCTGCCGTTCGAGAACAGACTTCAGGTGCACAAAGCAGAGCTCTCATTCTCCAGCTGTTAGCTCTCTAAATTCAGGCATTCGGGTGGAATTAGGAAAAAGCCTTAGCTTTAGGGTTAAAGAATGGATTAAATAGGCGTCAGAACCACAATCGTCCAGAGCAGTTGTCTTAAAATCTATCTCCAGTATATTTGCATTCTTATTGAAAAATAACCTCTGCTTCTTGTTTTTTTTGTGATTTTATGCTTTCTTTTTCTTACATTCTCAGATTCACTGCTGTCTTTTGCAGCTGTTTTGTTACCTGTGCATGTGTTCTCTGATCATTGCTTGTCTCTTTCCTGTTAAAGCATGTTCTGGTCTGTTGCTCTCATCCCTCTGCAGGTGTGTTCGTCTTCTACCTGTGCAGGTGTTCAGTGATTTTCTGCGTGATGAAAACAAACTCTGGGTCTCAGTTTTCATTGGTTACCTGTGCAGGTGTGTTCTGAGCTGTCTCCGTTACCTTGTGCAGGTATGCTCTGACGTAAACGCGTACCTGCTGGCGGACATGGCTCATATCAGTGGCCTGGTGGCAGCCAAGGTGATTCCCTCCCCGTTTGAACATGCTGACATTGTCACCAGCACCACACACAAGACCCTCCGTGGAGTCAGGTGAGTGGACAGTGTTGGGGGAGGGCGGGACTTTAAAGAGAAAGTGTACAGTTGAAAAAACATGATTCCTGTCTTTGACCTGATCATAGCCAGACTCAGCTGTGTGGGCTTGAGACCATTCAGAGACTAAACTGCTGCAGGTGGTCCTTGTAGCCTATAAGGGACACTTCCATGGTCATTAATTCATGTATAATTAAGAGAAGTTAAAGGTGTTTTAAGAGAGGGTCATGTTTCCTTCCATTAAGCTGTTCATGGCCATACCTGTCTGGTTAAGATGAGGTGATTGTTCCATCTTTCCCCCACTGCTTTGTTTACCACCTGTTCGCCTGATCTGGCCAGATCTGGGGAGCTGAGCAAGGCCAGGCCTGGTCAGTCCCGGGACGGGAGACCTGTACCAGGTTGCAGCTGTCAGTGGTGCCTGTGGTCAACAGCAGTACCTTGCTTTGTGCAGTCATGTACCTGACCGTTCAGACAGCAGCGTCAGACTGGGGTCAGGCCAGCGAGCTCCCACAATTTCCGTAGGCTGACCCCAGGCATTCCACTGTGTCTGGCACAGGTCCGGGCTGATCTTTTACCGTAAGGGGGTGCGCTCCGTGGACAAGAAGGGCAAGGAGGTGATGTACGACCTGGAGGACCGCATCAACTTCTCCGTCTTCCCCTCGCTGCAGGGCGGCCCGCACAACCACACCATCGCAGGGGTGGCCGTGGCACTCAGGCAGGTCAGTCTGGCTCTCCGCCTTGGGATCGGCAAGGGTGCTGGGGATTGTTAAACACAAAATCCTCTTCCCAGCTATAGGGCTCGGGCTGTCCCTCTGCGATCCAGTACAGTCCAGGCGTTTGATCTGAAAGAGTTTTATAATGTTTCGTGCTTTGAGCCTCCTGCACTGGCGGTGTTTGAGATAAGAACTCTGGGAAGGAACGTCAGAAGTCCTGCGTTCGTCACCCGGTGAGCGGTGATTGGAGGGGAACTGGGGCACTGTTTTGCATTTGAACTCTTGTTAAGGACTGCATTACATGCAGTGGGTTAAAAAAAAGAATTGGGGTGGTTTTGGAGACTCTGCTGCTGTTGAAACCTCCAGCTTTTTAGTGCTTTTCATCAAGAGGAGGGCTGTTTTTAAGCAGTAACAACATGAATGAAGGTGGTAATCTGAATAAATTAATAATACTGGTAATTATAACTGAAATGGAGGGCAAGTTGGAAAAGAACCAAAACCAAATAAAAATACACAGCTGTCACAATACCCATCAGTACATGGACAGGGGTTAATGTCTGTGTTCAGTGCCTGCAGATATGGATAAAATGTTAAATAAAGATGTACACTTGAAGTACCTGTGCTTTAGTTCTGTGTCAGATCTTTAAATATTCCCTCAGCAGACGGCAATCCAGAGGCACAAAAAATTCTCCCCTTTCACCTCTGTTTTCTGTCTCTCCCTGTTTCCATGGAAGAACATGCTACTGTTATTTTTATTCACATTATGTGGATAATAGTGTTGTTTGTTTTGAATTAGACCAATGCTTGGTCTAGGCTCCCCTACTAAGCTTCAATGGAGGCGGTACCGCAAGGAGCAATTTGCAATTACATCCTGAAGCCAGGAGAGTAAACGGTAAACTCTCTGAGGGATCTGAGAGGGGGGGGGGGAGTGCGGAAAAGAGGGGAAAGCTGATTGGATGCCTCGTGATTTTCCGACAGTTGAGTGTCTTTGTCAGATCAGAGGTGTGACTGCGCTACAGAAGAATCGAGGATGAGATTTGAACGATCATTCAGGGAATGTGAAAAGCCCTTCGCTGTTAGACAAGATCCTTATCTGTTTAATCCAACTAAGCCATGGACTAAGCTGAAGTGCTGCCAAGACTGCCTTTTTTATTGTCAGGTTAAATCGTTTTGCCACCCCAAAAAATAAAGTTGGACACCAACCAGAGGGCACAAGTGGAAATTGTGTAGAAGTGCCTTTAAAACAGAAAGCACTTCTTTATTCAAAGGCTTATGAAAGTGTGGAACAAACTATTGTTGAATCTGATATCCAGCTGTTTCCTCAGAGAAGTCAAGATGAGATCCTTGAATCGGTTAACTACTGGCGACCAAATTAGCCGAAGGAACAGGTAAAGGTTTATTCCACGCTGAGAGGAACAGAAAAGAAACGCAGCATTTTGGCTGTGTAGCGGGATGGCATCTTCTTGTCTGTAACCTTTCTCGTCTTATGTTAGAAAAGTCTTTTCCTAGTTTTCATTCTCAGGAGCATGTTCAGATCTTAAGAGTCTTCTCTCTTGATTGACAAACCCCCACCCTTCCTTGTGTTTCCAGGCTGCCATGCCCATGTTTAAGGAGTACTCTGCCCAGGTCCTGCGCAACGCCAAGGCCATGTCCAACGCCCTGCTGAAGAAGGGCTACACACTGGTGTCAGGTACCAACCACAGCTGGGCGTTCTAGTCTTGTAGGGGGACCCCATGATCCCAGAGCGGAAGAACCCTAAGGGCGTTAACAAAGTCTGACGATCTTCAGAATAAACAGTGACACACAAACCAGAGGGCTCAAGTGGAAACTACGGGAGACGCTCGTTTAAAAACCAAGAGCTAGAAGCGCAGAGTGTTGTGGGAGTGTGGCGTACGGAATGGGATACCCAGCCATATTGCTGAAGCTGATACCTTGGCGTCTTTCAAGAAACAGCTGGATAAGATCCTTAATTAGCTACCAACTCAAGAAAGGTGCTGGACTTGGAGAGGCCATGCTACCGTTTGGTAGACAGTAGTTGAACGGTCCGATGATCGAATCACATTCACAGCCTTATGATAAGAGGAGGAGCTTGTTTGCGTAGCATGTACTGGGAAACTTCGCTGACTACACAGAGGGGAGGGGAAGGGCAGGGTCGGGCCTGTGAGGGGGCGGAGGAGAGGAGCGAGCTGAGTGGCATTTGTTGTGGGGTTTTTTTTGCAGGCGGTACAGACAATCACCTGGTTCTGGTTGACCTGAGGCCAAAGGGGATGGATGGCGCCCGGGCAGAGAGGGTGCTGGAGCTGGTGTCCATCACTGCCAACAAGAACACCTGCCCTGGGGACAAGAGTGCCCTCACCCCCGGGGGGCTAAGACTGGGTATGATCTGCCAGGCATGCTGGGAGTGCAGATTTTAGTTTACAGAGAAGACAACTAAAACTGGGACTTTGTAGGTCCCTGAGAACAAAAGGGGAATTAGTCAGAAGGTAACTAATGGATACAAATCTGCAATACCGGTCCTTGACAGCCACCGGGCCTTTTGCTTATCATTCCAGCTGAGCACCTAATGACTTAATTAGACCTAATTATTTTGTTAAATTAGAACTTGAACCTTTTCCAAGTCTTTGCTTGTTGACTATTCAGAGCAAAGTTCTATGACCTGTGGGGCTGTGGCTCTCCTGCGAGCTGTATATGCACTACAGAAGGGTAATAAAAAGCCTTCTGTCAGCATGTGATCATTAAGTTTAGAGCCAGAACAAAAGTAGTTTTGAAGGGAAGAAGGTAGCGGTTCTATTTCCAGTCGCCCACGATGGGTTAGAGAGGAGAACCGGCAGGGTTGAGTGTCTTTAACTGGAGCAGGGCAACAACAGGCTTGGAGGTCACCCATCGATCTTCAGTTCTTCCCCCACTGCGTTCTCATGTTAGTTATCATGAATGTCCCGTCTGTGCTTGCGGCGTACCTGCCCCATACCTGCAGTGACATACCCCTGTTGTCCATGGCTGCAGGAGCCCCGGCTCTGACGTCCCGGCACTTCAAGGAAGCGGACTTTGAGAAGGTGGTGGACTTCATGGATGAGGGCTTTCAGATCGCAATCGATGTGAAGAAGAAGACAGGTGAGGGACTTGGCAGTGGTGCCGCAGGGTAAGGGGTGGGGGGGAGAGGGGGTATTTAGGGACCTTAAGTCAGCAATATTAGCAGCACCACATTCCTATAATCACAGAAACCCAAGTCCTGATGTTAAAAGTAGTGTTGGTGCACCTCTTTCTTATGGGAATAGTTTAAACAAGCACAGCAATTTTTTTTCAACACTATCTCCTGGTCGTAAAGTGAGATCAAATTACTCATGTTAACATCTGCCCCTTTAATTGTTAAAACGAGGGTACCCAAGCCACATTTGTAAGCAAAACGCCTGCTTCTTTTGAAATAATTGATATCTATGGAACTTGTAATTATAAAACCTTTCTTTTTTTCTTGCCGATGGACTGGCTAGGTTCAGGAAAGCGATGCTGTTCTGTTGTCAGGTCAGAGAGAGAACGCCCAATCTGCAAAAGCAAGTGGGAAGTCTTGTTGGGGCTCTTCAAGTTTTTTCCCCATTTCTTTCCACTCCAGCCAAGCTCCAGGACTTCAAGACATTCCTGCTGCAGGACCCCGAGACCAAGGCCAGGATTGCAGACCTACGGCAGAGGGTGGAGCAGTTCGCCCGCTCCTTCCCCATGCCTGGGTTCGAGAGTCACTAACCCTCCCAGCGAAGAGGGAGAGAGAGCGCAGTCGGGCACAGAGCCAGCCCCAGTCACCGCAGACCCCAACTTTCTGATCAGAGAACAGATAAACCAGAATTCTCTACCTGATTGAATCCTTCCCACTTGATTGAGCTTGAGACTGAACACTTCAGCGCCACGTCTTATATTTCTACAGTTCCGTTCTCGGGCAAACGAAAAAGCATAGTTACACTCCTTTCCTGTTCAGAAGGCCTGTTGTATTGTATTCTAAAGGAGCTGTATGACGCCAACGTCCTGCAGAAAAACAACCAGATTAAGTTTTGGAGAGGTCATCAGCTCTTGTATAATATGGTCACATGCATCTCTAATCCTCCAGAGCCTGATGGTTATAGCTTCAGGAAAAAAAAAGTATTTGACAGTATTAATTTACTGTTTGAGCCAATGAAAGACGTTTGCAGTTCTGCAGTCACCGTGTTTATTTAAAGGTACCAGTTAATTACACTGGCTGGCCACCCTCAGAGGTGAGAGTCTGGCACCTTTAGTGCTCCAGGCCCCAGCTGATGCTCTGGAAGAGAGCCCCTGCTAACCACCCAATATGTTTCACTCATGTAATTGTCCTTGCAGGATGACTCAGGACAAAAAAAAAAGTAAATGTTTTCCAGTTTCTTATTCCTTGTGAATGACTTGTTGTGAACTTGAGTTCAGTCCAGGTTTATTGTGTCTTAATCTTTGTTTTACCCCCCCACACACACCTTTTGGCAAAAGGTCCATTTACACTTGTAAACATAAGTCATTGATTGCTTAATGTCCCAATCGCGTATTGAGTTATTTAATGTGATGCAGTGGGGCAACACACCCTTTGTTCTCTGAAAGAACAGTACACAGCCTCATCCAGTGGGCGCAGGTTTCAGAAAAGGGAAGATCAGGTGCAGTAGATTTGCTGGGATAAGGGGTCCTGCAACGATATGTTTTAGATCCATGCCCGTGCTGAGCAGTAGGTGTCTGTGGGGAGTCCCCTCTTGTGAGCTGGAGAGTGTCAGCTGCACACTTTTAATATTTCAGCTTCGCTTCTTTTCTCTAAGAGCAGCATCACCTCCTGCAGGCTGCAATTATCCAAGGGGCAGCTGCTGCACAGGAGGAGAGTGGCTGGAGGAGGGACCCAGCAAAACAAATGTGAGCAGGAGAGAGTTATATAGAAGGTATTTATAGTGTTTTCAGGAAACCGTGTTACAGAGAATTACAAGCTAGAGTAGCAGAGGTGAAAGTCTTTGGTTGCTGTCATCCCTCCAGAACCTTCATTAGAAACTCTGTTTGAAGGGCAGATTTTCAACTCTGCGTCGTTAAATCACACCAGCAATTAGTGTTTGGATCCGGTTAGTGTTTGGCATTTGTAGTCATCAGTTCTCGTGTGCCATACCCATAGTTACAGTACCTGCTTTAAAGGTAACTGTATAATAAAGAAGAATAGATTCTCTGATGCATGAATGCTTATGACACTCACCTGTAAAAAAAAAAACACCATTCCCTACTGAAAACTACCCTAATGTATTGTGACTAGAGCTGCTTTTACTGTCCACAGTCTTCTTGGGTTTAAACTGTTGTTTACAGGGCTTCAAGAGCAGTATTTTGTGGTATTTTTCTACGTGGTTTAGAAATTGCCGCATGTTTCTCTACCTGTTGGCTCACGACGATGACTCCTGTACCTGCGCTGGGAAGAACGAGTGAAGGGCGACGGGCTCCCCCGAGCCAGGCTTCATCTTCCGACAGGCTGCAGGGAAGCCCAGGAAGTTCAGTGCTGGTGGGAGGGCGGTGTTTCTTTCCCTGGCGTTGCTGCAGTCCTGCGTGTGACCAGGAAGTTCCAGGGAGTCCGCTGTTGAATCAAGAGGCGATAAGAGCCCAGCCCAGCCCAGTTAATCCCCGGCGAGTTACTGATTGGACACAGGAGAGGAATGTGGCCCAGATAGCCCATTTCTGAACTAGAGTGTGTTTTAATGGCTGAGCCACACTAGATCCCAGGATCCCTTCCCAGACCGTTTGGATTCCCAAAGCAACCGAGATCACTTTCCAGGTGGCACAGCACGGTGCTATTTGACTTTTTACTTACCCATCATGGACATGGGCTTTTTAGTGTTCAACATCAGCTGTTATCCAGGGACTGAACCTTTTTAAAGAACAACTTGACCTGAAAACTACAAGATGTGATTGACCTGATCAGTTGGGTAGGACCTGATGCCCGGGAAAAGTTTGAAATTTTAATGCGCTACGTATTATCATACAGAGCGAGTTGACAAACGGGTCGCAGCCGTGACATTTGGCACAATCTCTTGATTGATCTAAAATGTTTGAGAAATTAATATTTAATTGCCGCTAATCTACTAAACTTGTTAGATTTTTAAATGGAAATACATTTTCTTAAGATCTTTTGCACATTATGTGAGTTAAGATGGATGACGAATTCAGATTATGCAGTAGATTTAAAAAAACCATGCCTACAGCTAAGTCCTGACTGGGATTGCGGATGTTTTTATTAGACAATTTCCTAACCTAAGCTGTTCCATTTTTTGGTGTCTTAAAAAAATATTTTCTCTGTTTTATTGTCAGTCTCCCTTGTGAAAAACGGGGGTTACTTGATTGATTGAATTTACCGTTTTAGTATTTTTATTTTTTTGTTCCAATTATTACTGTGAAATTATTGAAGCGCATTGCAAAAAAGGAGGCAGCAAGTGTTGTGTGAAACGTGGACTGTTGCCAGAAGAAGAAAGCTCGGAAAAGTTCCTTTTATGCAGTAGAAAGAATCTGTTTGGCTGAAGCCAAACTCCTCTGTTTTCTGTAGTGGTCGGCAGCCTTGCTTGCTGGAGTAACGCACATGGTCTGCAGTTTGTGATGACAGAAGTCCTCTCTTTGATCACCAAAAGAGCCTTGATAATGAAATCCCATTATAATGCAGATTTCTTTGTGCAGTTTTGTACCCTCTTGCAACCATCCAGTTGGTTAAATACAATACCAGCTTATTGATCAAAGACATCTACAGCAGGTTACGTGGCCAATGTAACTGTCTGATTTTAAAATCTTTTCAATACACCTGATCAAATTTTCTACCCAGAGGATGACTAGCAATGAAGGTGAAGCAGTGTTGAGGCTGGGGGGGGGGGTTCTGATATTTATTTTGGGTCCAGGAGTTCACCATCCTCTTTTCTAGCGAGCTTGGCACTTAACAACAAAGCGACACAGATATCCGTATGTATATCTGTGGACCCTTCATCTGCTGTCCTCCCCACTGATAGCTGGTGTGTGGTGAGCGGACTGGAGCTCATCATCCAGGTAAGGGCTACACACTGGTGGTGGTGGAGGGGAGTCCCCATTAGCTGTAAAGCGCTTGTGAGTGGAGCATCCAGAAAAGAGCTATGTAAGTGTAAGGAATTATTATTACCTTTACACCATTATCGGATGCAGGTACTGACAGTATTGCGCCTGCACAGGCCTGCAGGATCCTCGCGTTCGGAGCTTCTGTTTCCAGCAGCGCCACGGCGTTCTGCGGAGAGTTGGCACAAGTGTGGATGGAGGGTGATGGAGGTTGATGGGGGGGCCCAGCGCAGGGTTCCTCACCCTCACCCAGGCCGTGCCTCTCGCCCAGGCCCTAGTGCCTCACGCGAGTGGCCTCCCCAGCAGGTGGAAAGCACAAACACAGTCTCATGCGGGGCTCGAGGCCCTGGCCGACTTGGGTCCCCCTCCTCGCGTACTGCAGGGAGTGAGGAAGCCGGCTTCCCCTGGGGATCGGCATTCTCACAGCCTCCTGGCTTCTGGAACAGAGGAGCTTAACTGTACGCTCGCATCGGGAAGGAGCTGGAATGCTTTTGATTTGGAAATAAGTTTGTCTCCTTAGAACTACGCATCAAAGATTTTATAAGAAGACTTATTCGTCAGACCGAATGACGTACGTTCATTTGGTGCGGTTTAATGGCTCGTCTATACAGTTGTTCCCCTTCCTAGCCGGATGTTTAATAAATCTAAAATATGACAGTAAAGGTTTTTTGTCTTTTCTTAGATTCTCCCTTCTTGTGCTCTCCAGTTGTTCCATCTTTTCAGGATATGCTGTGTAGCAGCATTCATTTTTATCTAAGAATTTAACAGCAATCATGAGAAGAAAATACAGGCTTTCTTCATGAGGAGAAAATAAGGTGGCACTTGTGAGCTTGCTGTACATAGGGCTCTGTGCATCATTAGATGATAAGGTGGCACTTGTGAGCTTGCTGTACACAGGGCTCTGTGCATCATTAGATGATAAGGTGGCACTTGTGAGCTTGCTGTACACAGGGCTCTGCATTATTACAGGATGTTAAGGTGGCATTTGACATGGCAGTGTGATAAGGCGGGCTCAGCCTGCTGGAAGTTGTGTCGTGACCTAGTGAGAAAGACGAGCTTTTATTTAGATCTGAGTTCTGTGTCACGGAGCGTGACTTCTACTGGTTTATTTAAATGCCGTCCAGCTGTTGATCCTCTGTGGGATAGATAAGTGTGACTCTCCTTTGCCGAGAGAAACGGAGAACAGCTGTTGAACCTCGAACTTTGATTCCCTTGTCTCCCAAAGATGTTTCTCATGACCCATGGTCTGGGGACATTTAATCACTTTAGATTGCAGAGAAAAAGTTTTGTCTTTTTCAACAGCTCGGTTACAGAATAGCTCTCTTGAACTGCTTGCTTTCCAGACCTACGAGTCTTAAAATCTGCTGCCCATTCGATTTTGGATGCCTAGTGTAAAAGTGAAGAAAATGAGCTGCTTTTTCGATGCATGAGGCTCGTCTTTGTGGTGTGCCTTGTAGGGGGGATTCTGACTTAGAAGCGTTCAGTCAAAATCCCACAGATGGCAGCTTCGCACCATTGGCCCCTCAGCCAAGCGCAGCCACTAAATGTGCTTGGGTGAGGACTCCCAGTCTCGCATTGTCCCAAAATGGTTTGCATGCCTCTCCCACTCCCACAGAGGAGCATACCCAACGTCCTTATATCCCATCAGCTTCACCTCTGGGCTGAGACCAGGGCGTCTCAGGACCATGAATGCAAGTATGATCAGGTAAGGAATGAGCACTGCTGCCGCTGGTGTAAACAAGCAAAAAGTCATGATGCAATAGCTGCGGTTTTTGTTTTGCCCCTTGGGTGAGTGGAAATGATCATACTTTGCAACTGTGTTATTTTTGTCAAGCTTTCCATCCCTGGGGTATACTCCTTTTGTCCTGTAAGATGATAAGAAAGGTCTTATCCTTCATTATAAAGGCTTTTTAGGACCTACTGTGAAAATCTAAGGAGACTTGCATCAATATTAACAATACAAAATATATATTTTAATATGAACAGGGTGGCAAGGTGGATCTGTTGTATGTTCTCCTTCTGATCGCTTGGGTTTCCTCCGGGTGCTCTGGATTCCTCCCACAGTCCAAAGACATGTTGGTGGGTTAATTGGCTTCTGGGACAACTGGCCCTGGTGTGAGTGTCTGCCCTGCGATGGACTGGTATCCTGCCTTGCGCCTATTGCTTGCCGAGATGGGCTCTGACTCCCCCCACAACCCTGAATTGGAAGAAGTGGTTAGAAAATGGATGAAGACATATTAATGACATCATGTATTATATTAAAATATAGCAATTGATATGTTCATTGTAAAAGGCCGGTATTTTATTTCTCTAAAAAGAGCCTCGAAGTGAATAAA